TGCCCCCACCACCGCCCCCGGGTCCCCTGCCCGGCCGCCCCACACCCCAGCTATGCCTGAGCGCGGCCCCTCACCTTCGGCAACCCATCCATGTCGCCTGAGCCTGTGGACGATAGACACAGGGGACACGGGGCTCGGCGTCTGAGCCCCACCTCCCTGCCCCCCTCTCCCCCACCACCGCGGCTACACCCAACCCCTCAGCTCAGCCCACAGGAGGGCCTGAAGGGGTGTCAGTGCTGGTAGCCAGGTGTCCCCACGGTTTAGTTACTGGGCCCTCACCCAGTGCAGCCCAAGCACTGAGTCGCCCAGGAAAGCTCAGGGCGCCACCTGATGCCCCTACAAGCAACACAGGTGGAGGAATGGGGGGGGGGGGCTCAGTGAGAGCATGAGGCTAGCAAGGCCGCCTGTGGGGGGTGGTTCCCAGGCCTTACTCACCCAGAGATCCGTTCACGTGGTGAGGTTCCAGCGTGCTCATGGCTGCCATCGGGCCCTCGGGGCCTGGGCCCAGTGGGAACTGTGGCAGAGGGGTGGTGTGGGACTCGGGCCAGCTGCCACCAGAGCAGCCTCTACCCCACAACTCCGCACTTACGTTAGCCCTGCCGGCGCCTGGCCCCATGGGGTTCATGATGGTGTACATGTTCTCGCTGGAGTTGGTGGAGTCTGGGGGAGACAGGCATGAAGGCCTGGGGGTGAGAGGCCTCCCTCAAGCACACCCTTCCCCTCGCCACCCAGGCCCTAGTACCTCCAGGGCTGGGCATGATGGGTGTGCCAGGGGGCCCACCACCTCCTGGAGGTCCCTGCATGTAGAGGCAGACAAAACATTAGGAAGGCCCTACTGCCACCCTCTGAGTGATCCAGTGTTGGCCCCAGGACCCCACTCACCGTGTAGCTGCCAGGGGAGGAGGCAGAATAGGGGATCTAGGGAGAGAGGCAGCTGTGAGCAGCCCGCCCAGTGTTCCCTCACACCCCTCACCCTACCCATTGCCCCACTCCCCGACTCACCGAGTTGCCACTGGGGCTGGCCCATGGGCCGCGCACTCCGGGGCCCCTATTAGAGATGGTAGATGGAACCTAGAGCTGGACAAGCAGCACTCCTCCCCCGCCCCACACCTTGGGCCCCCGAAACAGCAGACGTTGACTAAGTGCTAAGCACTTGAAAATCCCAACCCATCACTCACTGGCCTTCGGGCCTTAGTTTTCCCACCCAACGGTGGAATAAATAATATCCCAGGCTGCTGTGCTAATCCAGCCCAAGAAGCTGGGTGGTGGCCCCATGGGCAGACTCCAGGGGTCCCTTTAGGGCCTTACATGTTCATTGTGGGCAGGCCTGGGCCAGCGAGGGAGTTGGGTGGGGGCCGCATGCCACTTCCATAGCTCTGTGAGGGGAAAGGGCCCTGAGTACAGGCCAAGAGGGGAGAGCCCCTGAAGCCCCCCCTGGGCCCACCCCTTACCTGGGGCCCAACGCTGGCCATGCCCCGTGGAGGAGTCACCCTCTGCATCGGGCCCATGCTCGGATGCCCTGGGGTGGGAGCAAAGGGAGGTGGCTCAGTGTGGACACACACCTGGGGGAGGGGTATACAGTGAGGGAGCAGGGATGGAGCATGAAAGCTGGGGTCCTGAGGGTGAACACCAGCTGGTGCTTCTCTACTCACCCTGAACACGCGGGGAGGGGTCCATGGCACCAGGGAGGGAGCCGGGTAGGCCCACGGGAGGCTGCAAAAGGGGCACGGCAGCCATGAGTGTGGGTGCCCTTCCCCCACCTGGCTCCTGCCACGCCCCTCCTCCAGTCTGCCTTCCCTCTCACCTGACTCGGCATCCGCAGGGTGGGCCGGGGGCCCCCTGAGAACCTGGGTGACATGAAGGGCTGGAAGAAGTGGGCCAGGGGTCAGCACCTCCCCCTACCCACTCCCCGCTCCCCCCCAAAGCTACCTGGTTCCTGCTGTGCCCAGGCCCAGAGCCTGACCTGCCCCATCTCCAGGCCTAGCCAACAAACCCTAGTGGCTAGCTCCCGGTGTGTGTGAGCAGAGGAGCGGGATGTGCGTGGGCAAAGGGACAGGGGTGTCACAAGTCCTTACCTGAGTGTGAGGCCCCATCATGGGGGTGTTGGGGTTGTGGGGGGGCAGCTGGGAGCCCAGGGGGCCCTAGGAGGACAGAACCAGGTGGGTTGGGAAGAGCTACCGTTTCCTGAGGCCCTGCTAAGTCTGAGCAAGGGAGGGGAAGTGGAGGAGCCATGGAGGTGGGAGGGTGGGCCATCCACCTGTCTGCAGGCTGGGGATGCCCCCTCCAGGAGGGGTCACGGGAGGGACCTGTGGCTCGGAGCCACGCCCTGTGGGCCCAGGCACACTGGCATGTACACACACAGGTCTAGTGTGCAGCGATCCCATCCTTCCTGCCCTGGGCTCAAACCCTGCAGCCCCTCCTTCGCTAGCCCCACCAAGGCCCGTACGTGCATCCCCGCCGCAACCTTCCCAACCTGCTCCAGCCTGCCTGCCTCAGGGTTTCTCCCGAAGGGGGACCCACACCCATCGGCACCTGGGCCTGTCATTCTCTGACACACGTGCACCCAGAGTCAGGGGGACGAGGGCCCCAGCCCTGGCTGTACCTGGAAGAAGCCAGGTGCCATGGGGCCAGCTGCCATTGCATCGCTGGGGGCTATGCCCCCCATCACAGGGCTGGGGGCAGCGGCCGCGCTCTGCAGGGCGGGGGAGACATGAGGTGTGGTCAGGCCAGTTCTGCCCCAGCGTCCCCTCAGCAGGTAGCCAGTCCCACAGAACAGGGCACCCAAGCCGTCTGACCCTCTGTCCACGCAGGGGGCGGTGGCTGGGGTCCTAGGAGACAGAACAGCCACCCCTGTTCCCACCCCAGTTTAACACCCTCACAAGTCCCCGGACTCTGACTTGCTGGGTGGCCGCCAAGAGGCTCTGCCTCCTTGCTGCACCTGAGAACCTGGGGGTGGTCAGGGCCGAGCCCGCTGAGCCCATCAGCTCCGGAAGGAGGCAGGGATCCAGAGATTCCCAACCGAGTCCCAAGCTGAGGAATGGAGGTCGGAAAATGCCCGCCATGCAGGAGGCGTGCACTCCGTGACCCAGCACAGGCTGATGCTTTCCATCTGAATCCAGCCTCCACTTGGTAGGGGCACCATCCCCTCCCTACCCCAGGCCCTTCCCCACACACTTGGTGTCCTCCTGGCTGGCAAGGCAGCTTAGCTGGACCCCCAGCTCCACCCAACACACGCCAAGTAAACAGACAAAAAGTCAGTCAACAGCTTGAAGATGAAACTCCCTCCCCAGGGTTCCTCCTCAGAGCGGCTGTGCAGACCACGGCCCCTGTCTCCCAGGAGAACTGGACTCTCTGGGTACAGTGTCCAGGCCCCCAACCTCTCTTCAGATGGAGGAGGGGAGAAGGCCAGGTGCGAGAGGGGCATCATCTTGTGGGCCAAGGGCAGAAATGCAGGGGCCAGGCTGACACGTCACTTCCTCTGGTCAGGCGTGTCAGCTTTTGGGGGCCCACAGAGCGGGGGGGAGGGGGGGGAATGGAAGGCTAGTCTATAGGGCAGAGGGGACACATCAAAGGATAGGGAAGGGCACTGAGTAGCGAGCACTTTTCTGGGGGCCCCTCCTCTCCTGTCTGCATCACCCATCCTCCCCAGCAAGCCCCAGGAGGAACGGGGGAGTCTGTCTTCATCACTGCTGTGCCTGAGGCCGGCACAAGCCAACACCAGGGTTCTCAGGAATTTGTGGAACGGCAGCCACTCGGGCTCCGAAGAATTCAGCACTAACCCTGCCACCCAGGAGTGGGGCACGGGGCTCCTGAAGACACGCCCTCCCTAAACGAACTGCAGCCCGGCACCCTTCCTGCTCCTCCTTACAGGTCTGCCTCCACAGGACTCCTGCCAGGCCCCAGGCGGGGGGCCTGGGAGAGCCTCCCCAGACCTACAGTGGCGAAGGGTGTTCCCAGGCCCAGCACAGGTCACTCATCCGAAAGCCCAAGCAACCCTGAGGGTAGGGGTGGGGGAGACAAAGCTCTCAGCCCCTGGGGCCCCCTGCCACCACCCCACTACCGCACAAGCACACAGCCCAACGGCCTACAGCAGCTACTCTGGCAGGCACCGCTTTGGGGGCTGTAGGGGGACACATTCTGTGCTCAGGTCTGTCCACCCACACTGCCTACCCAATAGGCACAGCAGGCGCCAGAGCACTTCCTGGTCAGGAGGAGAGGGCGGTGGCGGGGAAGGCTGCAAGCAGAACTCAGGACCACGAGGGGGAAGGTATGGTGTACCCCGCACCCCTGTGGCTCCCCAGCTCTAGGCCCGGAAGGGTTAATACATAGCCTCCCCTGGGTCCCCTGCATCGATCATTCACCCAAAAGCATCCAGCCAGCATTGCCACCACGACTAGCTGGTGTGCTGGCGTTTCTTGGAGATGCTCGAATGGCCTGGCGGGGGTGGGGAGTGGCGGGGGTGGGGAGTGTGTGTG